GATAAAAATTAATTGTAATTTGAAAAAGTTTTATTAGTAACAACTTTCAATTTTATTGTAAAATTTTAAAATCACGTGGTGATCATATGAAAAATGATCTACATACCGTCTACCCTTAAATTAAAGTAGCTATATCTCTGAAAGTTTGGTAATTTTGGCCAATCAGAGTTTTTTGTTGGTTAGCCAATCCAAACAAATTTCTATCATGCTATTAAACACGGTCCAAACTATAAGTCTAGCATCACCTTAAAAAACTTTGCCATTTATAATTTTTCGCTATTAGCAGGTTAGAATTTGGTTTAGAGAGCTATAATTATAGTAAATTTTAGCACTTTCGTAGGCAATATTTTAAGCTACAAATGTTTTTTTTGCTGTTAAGATTTTTTGCATTACACATGATCAAATCTGATTGGCCAGTGAAATTTTTTCACTAAAACAGTAATGGTTAGAAAATCTAACCCCAAAGACTGATTTTCTGTTGATAGGATTTGTGCAAATCCAGTCCTGACTCGATTTTTCGGTTCGATTCTAGTCTTAACCTGGACTCGTGCAAAGACCTCTAGAACCGATACTCAATATAGATGTGCGTCATATTCGAAGAGGTGTGGTTTTAAAATTTAGTTAAAACGAAATTCGATTCTGAAATGCATCAAGCCAGTTTATCATTTATGTGCTTGATTAAGATGTGTATAATAAACGTATTAATAATCAAAAATATTAAACAGATATCGAAATATTCATGTATTTTATACATGCTTTTATACCAAGGTGTCAAAAATCTGGCGCCGAATAAGAAAGCACTAATTGTTCAAAACTAGAAAAATTAAAATTTTTATCCCATGAATACTATACCGTGTACCTTTCGTTATCTGATACCCCTACTATGATCGGGACCATCAAATAACTACAGTTACTGTATTATCTGCTACACATTCAATAACTATATGAGTGCTGCCAAGAGAAAACCGATCCACCTAGTATCAGCATCAAAATCAGCTACATATATGCAGAGCTTAAATTTATTTAAATAATGATTAATATGTACAGTACAACAGTGTTAGCCTATAACCTAAGTCATAACATATTTTTCATATGACCTCGGTCATATGACTATATGACCTAGGTCATAAAGTCATAAGGTCATAACATTATAACCGAAGGTCATATGACTCATATGATCTAGGTCATATGACTCATATGACCAGGTCATATGACTAAAAATTATAGGTCATAAATTTTAACCAATTAAAATTATA